TTGTATTAGACATAGAAAGTCGCGATCAAGCAATATGTAAGTATAACATTAGTTCTGTCATAAACTAAAAAGTGTAGTAACATATAATATATTTATGCTTTTAATCCACACTGATATTTTTCTACATTTCAGGAGAGTCTATCCCAGACTATAATTGCATCTGAAGACCATGATTGCAGGAGCCTACTCAGTCGAGTATTAAATGTTCCTGAGTATACTGGTCGTGTGAGGGGTAAGGGGTTTGGTGTCACTCCAACAAAATGGTATAAGAATCCAAAGAAAAAAAATCCGACCAATAAAAAAGTCATGGAGTTGTTGGAAGAATTGAGAGCTCAGGTTCGTGAGTTGCAAAAGGAAAAAGAGAGATACATGTCAGAAAGGCGCGGTCACAAGTTTAAAGATACTAGTGACAAAGATAGTATCAATTGTAATTTTTAGCAGAAACTTCCCGAGATTGACATATATACACATTAATCGTGTTCGTTATTGGTTTATGGCATTTCACCTTGTCGGATATATTTATCGGTACCTACTTATCGCATGGTTGGCAAGGGAAAAGTGAATAATACTTTGGGAGACTTACTTCACCATAAACCGCTCCCAGCTGGATTTTTGAAGGTATCAATTGATATTGCTTTAGAGCGGGATGCGTTATTGCCTATACCAGACGATGTTTTGGATGCAACATTGGTGGGAGACGCAATAGGATCGTATGTTGCATGACCCTCAAATTTCATTTTCATAGATGATGAGGTACGTTGAACACCATTATGAACCTTTTAGTATTCAAATATTTTATTACATGTAAGTTATTCTTACATTTACGTACCATTTATTTACATGATAATGTTAGACTCCTACAAAATCCAAACCAAAAGATAAAGGGGATTATTGTGCGGGAAACCGAGTCAGATGCATCAAAAAAATAGGTACATTAATTGATATATATGAATAGAAAATCTGAATTATATCCTCCGATTTTTAGATTACCTAACTTATATGATTTTTAGATTCAAGATCAAGAGATGCAAAAAGTCAGCAAGGATAAGATGCCTGAATCTAGCAAGGTGTCCAATAAAAAAAGGTTGAGCCTAAAAGAGCATCTGTTCCTCGATTTAGGTTGTGCCTTGAAACATATGTCGGAACAACATATGTGGTGGAGGGTGGCATTCGTCAAATACATATGAAGGAAGGTATTTTCGGATTTGCTTATGATGAAACAATTGCTAAAGAGGATTTGGATAAGGTTTTCCAACATTCTGAATTGGGCATCGGTGTTATTCATCCATATACCAGGTATTCTGATCAATTTTAATTAAATATATAATTGATCAATTTATTTGCTCATTACAATTAATATTAATCCTAATGTTGTTTATGTTTTTATTTAAGGTTCTTGTATGAAAGGTTATTGGTCCCGCATCAATTGACATAAAGGTTCTCATTCTTTTCTTCTAGCTATATCAACGCACGGTTAATCAAACACAATCCAGACGCAGTCAGAGATTACATAGTCCAAGCATTTATGGCCACAGATACAGAAAAGTTATATTTTTTCCATATAATATTAGTCATGGGTTAGATTTCATTCTAATTTCATTTATTATAATTATTCGTTTTTAAACATTCTCTATAACATTTCCATTTAAATTTTGTCTTATTTTACAGTGGACACTGGTTGTTGGTCGCGATTAATCTGATAAAAGAAATTGTATATTATTTTGATTCATTGGATGGGGATCAAACAAAATATCATAATATGAAGAAGATGGTTGATATGTAAGTGATGAGATTGTTTTGAATAATTCGTGTATATCTTTATTTATTATGTGAGATTGCTATAAATATTCGTTTATATTATGTTTAGAGCTATACAAATATTTTGATCACAAAGACAAGCAAGAGTACCAAAGAGTAAGACCAACAACATTAGTTGGATCAGAGTGCAGGTATATTTTCACAATTTTGATTATTATTATAGTGATGTTGTTTGCTAAAACTAGTTAAACTATATATCCTGATATGTATTTGTATTTTTTCCCATGTGCAGTGTCCTCGTCGACGTAATGATATTGATTGTGGCTATTTTGTATTGAGGTTTATGAAGGAAATTATTCATTCGGTCCAAATAGAGATTACAAACATGGTATGGATTTATAAGTTATATGATTTATTTTGATATTTAACCGGTATTTCATCTAAGTAATTAGTTTTAACTAAATCATGCATGTTATGTTATATTATTTAGTACTTTGATGAATCCAAGTGTGACACTTACTCGAAAGAAAAATTGGAAGAAATTAAGTAGGAATGGTGTCAATACATTCTTGAGATGAGAATTGTATAAGGTATATTATCTTTATGTCTTTTGATCGGAGATTTATGTTGTTGTGATGTTTTCTACATACTACTGGATAATTATAGTTCTGGAAGTCGTATATAATTTTGGAATTTATTGATATACTTCTAGATCGAAGTCGTATTGTGTTGTTGTGAGGATCCGTACTTATGAAATTTTTTTATTATATGTATGGTGAATATTGTGACATTATCGGTTTTGGAATATATTTTATAAATATGGATCGTTTCTGTTGAATGATAATATACATATAAGGCCTATGTGTTGAAATAAAGGATCGTGTTGAATTACAATGATTGTAAGAAGGTTATGTATAAGGCCTAAGTAGTGTTGAAATAAAGGTTCGTGTTAAATATAATTGTTATAAGCAGGTTTGTGTGATAAATTACAAAGAATTATGCAACAGTATAAAACAAAAAACACTTCATAAAAATATGCACAAAAGCCAGCGCTTTTTGCCAAAAAAGTGATTTTGGGGAAAAAACCAATGATGTGAGAAAAGACATCGCTTTTAAAGGAAAAACGCTGCTAAAGGTAGGGAAAAGAGAGCGCTTTTAAAAAGCACTGCTAAAGGGGTGGTAAAGAGAGCGCTTTTGAAAGCGCTGCTAAAAGGGGGGGGGGGGGGGGGGGAAAGCGCTACTAAAGGTCTTAGGAAAATGGGCTTTAGATAGCGCTTTTAAAAGCGTTGATAAAAAGGGGAAAAAATGCTGCTAAAGGTCTTAGAAAAATAGACTTTAGAGAGCGCTTTTAAAAGCACTGCTAAAAGGGGAGGGAGGGAAAGCGCTGCTAAAGGCCAAAAAAAGCGCTGTTAAAGGGAGACCTATAGCAGCGCTTTTTACCCAAAAAAAAACGTTGCCTTTACCTATAGCAGCGCCACTTTAGGCAGCTCTTTTAAGCGCTGCTATAGGTTTTTTTTGGCATAGTGCCTCGCTACTAGCTTCAGCCCTTGTCCAGCAACCTTCAGCTCTTTCTTCGGGCCTCTCTCCTGAAAACAATTAAAAGTACGAATATTATAAAACACAATGTTAAAAATTCAAATATTATTCAATATCAAATACATGTCGTTTACTTGCCTCATCAAACCATACATGTCTGAAAATATGATGCTCGTACTTAACCAACAAAGATGTCTCGTAGGGCCCTCCTGGATAGTCAACTGGCGGTGTTGCGGCTAAGAATGAGGATGCATCAATATGTTTTTCTTCATCAACAAATCTCGATGAAGTGCCTCGTTCTAAAGCACCCCCTGATGTCCTACCGCCTCGTGTTCGCGCCACTGAAAAAAATAAACAAACAAAAAAATAAAAAAACGTTAAAAAAAAACAATACCAGAACACATAGCAAATGAGTTTCGGAACTAAAAAATCTACAATACCAAAACTCATTTTATGAGACTTCCAAAATGCAAACATAACTGAACTGAAACACATTTGAGAAGTCTTCCGGTAAACACTTTAACAAACTGGAAGACTCTTAAAATGAGTTTCGAAACACAAACTAAAATATTTTAATTCGGAACACTTACTTTTAACAGTTTCGGAGATCAAAATGTGAATCGAAAGTCTTTGATAAAGTGTTTCGGTTTGCAGAGTATTTTTCACGTATTTCGGAAATCTTTTGACAACGTAAATGAAAAGTGAAATGATTCTAAAAAATATATTTGTTTATATGAGGGTATTTTAGTCCAAAATTTTTGTGCGTAAGTATAGATATAATTGTAAAAATATGGAGTAAAGTTTTCTAATATATTTGATCCAATAGAATAAGATTCTATTTGATGGGGCTTTTATTGACACTGTTGAGGTTTTATTATTATTATTTTATTTTTATTATTATTATGTTTAGATTGTACGAATATGTTGCTATGTTTCACAAGAAGGATATGATTCAAGTTGGAATGTTTGGTATATTTTTCTGAATCTTTATTGCTGACTTTTTAGTTGGTAGAAGTTGTCCCGTTCTTGTAATTGGATTGGGGTCCATAGTACTCCTCTTAATTATTTTTGCTTGTGATTATTATTATTACTATCGTCTAAACGGATACTTGTATACCTGTTTGTCCGTTTTTTTAATGCAAATATATAGTATTAATTTTTAAAGAAAGTTATGTAAGAAGTTAATAATAAAAAGTTGGATGGAAAGTTAATAGTGAGAAGTAATGTGAAAGATGGTAGTAGTAATTTCAATAGAAATTATTGTATAAAAGAAGGGTAAAAGTGGTAGAAAAATAGACTATACCAAAACACTATGTTTTTCTTTTATATGTTATATATTATTATTATTATTATTATTATTATTATTATTATTATTATTATTATTATTATTATTTTTATTATAATAATAAAAATTAAAAGAAATAATAAAATATATAATTTTTCCTAAATTAACATGATAGATTTTAATTTAGACAACATATATATCCAATCTGATACATATCAGATTTGATTTAATTTTAATAAAATGAAATATGATTTTACTTAATTTTGTTCGATTGATTTAGTATTTTTTTTTAGTGCTATTTGATTGATTTAGTTAGATTTTGATCCGAAAATAAATACTAATAATAACAAATTTTCTTATTTTCACTCATCCAAATATATTTAAACGAAAAGACTCTTGACAGATTTTAACCTAATTCACAATGGCTTCTACCACCTCCAAATTGAGCATGACGCTTCTCATTGACACAAAAACTGAGAAAGTGATATTTGCTGTAGCTTCAAAACGAGTTGTGGATTTTCTTTTCAACATGCTATGTTTGCCTGTTGAATTCCATAAAGAAGGCTATGGCAATGAAGATGGCGAGACCGGTGATGACTATTACAATGAAAAAGAAGGCGATGACAATGAAGATGGTGAGAACGGTGATGACTATTACAATGAAGATGGTGAGAACGGTGATGACTATTACAATGAAGATGGTGGCGACGGTGTCTATTATGACCGTGAAGAAGGTTATGACTACGACGATGGTGAAAACAGTGATGACTATGACTATGAAGAACATGCCAATTACAACGAAGATGGTAGCGACGATTGTGTCTATTTCGACGAGGAAGAAGACGAAGATGGTGAGGACGATGACTGTCATGGCGAGAAAGACGAAGATAGTGAGGAAGAGGAAAAAGAATTCCAAGGAGAAGCTAGGCTTTATCGTTGCCCAAAAAAATGTAGCAAAATTGTGACAAGCATTAAAAAACCTAATTGTTATTGGTGCAAGAAACCTATGGAGCATATAACAGATTATAGTGAACTCAAACCTAAGGACACTGGTGAAGATAATGTAACTTTCTTGGTGACGGATGATTTAGTTTTTCAGCCTGTTACTTCAATGAATGAGATTGTTAACAAGTATAATATCAAAGACTATCGAGAGATGATTGTTGAATTGCGAATCAATGAGGTAAGTTTACATCATCACTTCATATTCTGAATTTTTTTATTTTTGTTTTTGACAATTTTTTATCTGAACTTTAATTCTAAAATACTAATTAGTGTTGAATTTGATTTTTTCTATTTTTAATAGGGAATCAAATTGCGTAAAGCTTCATTGAAGTCGAAGATGATTTTGACGAGTGTTTTTGTCAATAAGGAATATTGACATTTGTTTTTAGATTTAAGGTTTTAATTGACATTTGTAATATGAATTGTGTTAGTATTTTTAATGAATAGTTTTGATGAACTAATTTTAGTAAACAATCATTAGTCCATAGCTATCATTTATTTACGAAATAATTTCTTTTGAATTAGTCATAAATATTAACCAGAATGATAGCAACATTCAATTCAAAGGGTTAAATGCTAACAATAAGGCTGATTTTTCTCTAGTTAAAATTGTATGTGTATAGTTAGGTGGAAATAGGCTAGATCGAGGGAATAGGATCTTCTTCTGCTACGTGTGTTCTGTTATCTGTGCAGTGCTAATTCAATGGTTGAAAAACAACAACAAAATTGATTAAAAATATTATTTATGAGGAAAGAGAGAGGAAATATTTTGAATTTGGAGAAATCTTTATAAAATTTTGAAATCAAAATATATTTAATCTTAATTCATTCGGTTATTATAAAAATAAAAATAAAACGCACTTAATCATGTAAGGGGTAAACAATTATTTTTGAAAAGTTTGTCATTAAAAAATTTATCGAAGATTTTCTACCTAAATAGACAATAATAATATAAATGGATTTATTTTAATTAGGTTTTTAAAATACAGAGTAATACATTAATTTTCATAAATTAAACCATGTCCATTTACCAAACAATAAAACTTATATAGTCAGTTTCATTGAAATCTTTGCTATCATCAATTTTGTCTAATATTATCATCAACATTTGAAATAGATTTGGATTAAAGGTAGTGGGAGAAGTTGGTGCAGTGTACTATTGAAAATTGAAATACGAAATCAATTTTTTTAAAATAAGAAAAGTTGTGGTGCAATGAGAGAAGATAAATGAAATTTGTTTGATATGCTTTTTTCTTCACTTATAGTATGTAAGTCGTTAGATTATAGTGAATAATGAAGATTTTTTTTTTTAAAGTAGCAATGTATTAATTTTTATTTACCAAATAAATCACTATTTCAAAAATATTATCAAATTGGCAATGTTTGAAAATGGACTAATATGCGTTCGCCAAAGCAATTGGCGAATTAGGCCAAATGGGCTTGAAGGCATTCGCCAAACCTCGCCACACCAATTGGCGAATTGGTTATACTGATTAGGGTTTTCGTTTTCATATTTTTTTGATTTTAGTTATTATTATTATTAACCATAAAATATATAAATTTATAATCTAATTAATATTTATATAATTAATATTAATATTAATTTATAATATAATTTTTAATGTCATCTATAATATTAAAAAAATTAAGTTTAAAAGTTTAAATTATTTTATGAAATTATAAATTTAAAGTAAATTGGGTTGCTTGCTAAATCGCCCAGCTAGGGTTTTAAACTTTCCTTATATATTTTTGGGGTGGCATTCATCAATGGATGTATAGTCACCCCAGTGGTAATCACTTTGTCATCAAATGCACATTTCACCTGTAGCCTGGGTTTGATCCCTGAGGAGGATCAATCCTTTTGTATAATATGTTTTTACTTTTTTTTGCATTTTATTTTCACTTGTTGTGATGTATTTGCGCACTAACTTATCGTTTTTTAATTATCTTTTTTTTGGCTATAAATACGAGCTCAAACACATGTTTTTTTCACAACATTATTTCACATGTTTTTTTCACAACATTATTTCCTAAAAGACTAAAGCGGTAGTGCGGTTTAAGTTGAGCGGAGTCCATAATGTCTGCATTTCTGAATCAACGTTCTTCTTCTTCGTCATCAGCATCGGAGGAACCTTTTCCAACGTTTGATATAATGAAAAGAAATGCCCTTGTGGTGTTTTCAGCAACAAAGCCTCCGATGAAGGTGCTCCTGTGGAATACGCAGACGTTGGAGCACTTGCACAGGGAACTGAACCGCTGGCTAGAAGGGGATATTGCTCCAGGAGAAAAGATTAGGAAAATTGAGAGGTTGGTGGAGAAGACCGATAGAAACGGAGTTACTCGTGAATGGAGAAAAGTGGAAAATGATGTCGGCGTCCTTGTGATGATGTTGACACCAAAGGAGATAAAGTTGATGGTCGTGATATCGTAGACGCTCTATTCTGGTGTTTTGGTGTATCTTTTTAATTTGTTGTTATGTTTGTTTAATTTATGAAAGTTAACTCTACTTGTAATAGAAGGAAATTTGCAGTTACCTCTGCCTGTAATAGCATGAAATTTGATTTTAATCAAATGAAAGTTACTTTTGAATTAAATGGACACGTTTACAAATGAAACTATGATCTGTTGCTCGGACCTACGTTTGGACACGTCGTACGATTGTGTCCTGGTTGCCGACACGAACTACACAATCTCACTAGCTTATCCGAGGTATCCATCTCGGTTCGTATGCGCGTGCTGTTAGGCCAACCCTTCTTTGTTCTGCGCATCAAGTCATTATGCCAAACAATTTGGCCTTCGTATTCGGGCCAATAGTCCTCCTTTGCCAACACCTGAAAACTGCATGAGTAGACATTGCATAGACTTATGACTTGGTGAACTGAAGAAAGAAGGTTGGTTGGGTCCTGGCGCGCCTTCGAACAAGCTGCTATGACATGAGAGCAAGGCATACGGAATGCTTGAAACTTTCCACAATCACACCAGCTCTTATCTAATTCAACACGATAACATCCCCTGGGCCTTCCTTCATTGTGATCTATAGCCTCGGCAACACTGAACCAACCAGCTGTACGGTCAAATATTGTGACCACGTGGGTGTTGGCTTTGGCAGCTTCGTCTTTCATGAATTTCATTGCAGTGTCGCTGTACAGCTGACCCGATTGTAATACCGAACCCCACTTCGCACGCCTGCTATCAAAAAGTGATCCCATCCTAAAATAGGTTGCCTTTACCAACGCAGTTATTGGGAGGTTTCGAATTCCCTTGAAAACAGAATTCATTGACTCGACGAGGTTGGTTGTCATGTGGCCCTATCGCACCCCATTGTCGTATGCTCGCGTCCATTTCTCCCTATCAATGCCGTCAATCCATCTTAATGCATCCGCGTTGTTCAGTCTAATCTCGTCACGGTAGTATCTGAATGTTGGTTCAGTTAGTGCATACCCCGCGTTCACAACCTTCTTCCGCAGCGTCCTGTCTTTGATCTCCCTCATGAAATTTTGGGCAATATGCCTTATGCAGTAGACGTGGGTCGATGGAGGATCCTGCCAACCGTTGTCATGGTTGTTGTAAGCACTCTCGATGGATGGGAGTCGATCGGAGATCAAACATAAGTTAGGTTGGGGAGACACGTATGACCGTAGATTTTTTAAGAAAAAACTCCAACCCCCAGCAGTCTCCCCTTCAACTATGGCGAAGGCTATCGGGAAAATGTTGTTGTTCCCGTCTTGTGTCACAGCCATCAGAAGTGTGCCCTTATATTTCCCGTAAAGCCAGGTTCCGTCAATCTGAATTATAGGTTTACAAAATGCAAACCCTTTGATGCATGGTTCGAATGCCCAAAAGACTCTGTGGAAAATCCCATTGCCAGCAACATAACTCCCGTCTGGTGTACAAGCAGGCAACGTCTCCAATATCGCAACAGTTCCTGGAGAGTAGTGTTTAAGGGCTACTAGGAATTTAGGAAGTTCCTTGTATGAATCCTCCCAATTTCCAAACACCATTTCAACAGCTTTATTCCTGGCTATCCAGGCTTTTCGGTAAGAAGGAGTGTAGTTGTACCTTTGTACCATATGCGCAATTATGGTACTCACCTTCAAAGATGGGTTGTCGCTGACGACTGATAGAATCTCATCACAAATCAACTTAGAGTTTAGTTTGCGATGGTCTTGCATCGGATTCGAGATGATACAGCTGTGGGACGGACCCATTGACCCTATCTTCCAGGAATCGCTTCTCTTCCTGAAAGATGCTGTTAATTTGAACGGGCACTCCTCGTTACGGCAATAGATCATATACCGCGTTGGATTTGAGTGATCAACCTTGTAATCGGCTGACAATTCCATGTGAAACTGTTTGATAGCCTAGACACAATCTTGTTTCGTACGAAACTCGTCGCCCTCTTTAAGTTGGCCCCGTGTTGTGTAGTTGGGGATGTAGAAAACATCCGTTGAGGGTTCATCATCAACTAAGGTGATATCAGTCATGTGATTTGGTGGACAATAGACATGCTCAGGTTGAACTTCAACCTCAGAATTGTTCACCATCTCGTCAACAATGACTTCAGTTGCTTCTTCTTCTTCGTCCACGACATTGACTTCGGGGTGTTCATCTTCAGAATCGCAAAAAACTTGTGACGAATCAAGTTGCTGAGACAGTTGTTGCTGTTGTAACGTAACGTATACCATGATTTCTGAGAACCCTGAATACTCGTGAGTGCGGAACATGTTACGCACGTCTTCATCATCTCGCACCTTTAAAGGAAAAAATTTGCACGAATCAAGTCCGCCAAAGAATACTGGGTTTTTGTATACTATTTGTCCAACTGGACCGCACTGCAGTTTTTTTTCGATTCTTGACTTCAGGTGTAAAAAATTAGACCTTCTGTCAATTAAAAATCTTGTAACCTCCGCGTTTCTGAAAGTGTATCCCGAATCCTCACATTCGAAAGCTTCACCATTCATATGAGCGGCAATCATGTGTTGTGGTGTTTGAGACATTGTGGAAATTATGGTGTCTGAATAACGGGGTGTAACAACGTTTTAGTGTTTAAGTGTTTTAGTGTTTGAGTGTGTTTGATAAAGGTTTTATAAAATGGCCTTAGTGCTTCTGAATGTTTGAGTCTTTGAGGGTGTTTTATAAAGGCTTTATATAATGACCTTAGTGCTTCTGAATGTTTGAGTCTTTGAGTGTGTTTGATAAAGGCTTCATAAAATGGGCTTAGTGTTTTTGCATGTATCAATAAAGTTCTGCCTTTCATTTACCACGCATGCTCCTTAATCAATAAAGTGAACCACTGAGTTGATATGAATTGACATTGCAAAGTTCTGCATTTACATGTGATGTGCAAGTCAGGAATCTCTGTCTGCCTTACATTTA